CACCGTTGGATCAAATTAAACTGCCAAATATTTGTTGCGCTATGAGAACATATTTTTTTACCTGATAGTTTACACCGTTGGATCAAATTAAACTGCCAAATATTTGTTGCGCTATGAGAACATATTTTTTTACCTGACATTCACCTTGGATTTTGGATAGACATTGATGTGTTAATTATCCTATATACAATCCTATCGTGTTTGAATAAAGCACGTTATCCACCCACCAAAAAGGATCGCAACCATTAGAGCAACTCCACCCTTGGAGCCCTCCCCCCTGGCAATCCACTATTCAATCCACCTAGTGAACAGTAACCGTCCTTAATAAACAGTAATTGCCATTTGCATCTCCACCCTTGGAACCCTTCTCCCGGGCAATTAGTAATAAAATATTAATATTTTTTTTCTCACCCAATCCATAAAATATTATTATTTTTTCCTAATTTTGACCGGTCCTCTCTCTCTCTCTCTCTCTCACAGCAGCCATGGAACACCGAGGAGGAAGGAGGAAGGAGGACCGGTCCTCTCTCTCTCTATCTCTCACAGCAGCAGCCATGGAACACTGAGGAGGAAGGAGGACACAGAGAACACCGAGCGCATGCACCGATGCCGCACATCAGCCGTACGTCACACATCCCTCAGGCTCTCGGGCTGGCAATCCCCGCCGGGCCTGTCGCTCGGGTCCTTTCTCCTCACCTGTCCCCCGAGCAACCAGCAACGCTGGAGCCCTATCCCCCGACCGTCGGGCCCTTTCTCCTCGCCTGTCCCCCGAGCAACCAGCAACGCTGGAGTTGCTCTTATGGGATCGTTTGTTCAGTCAAACATATGTACTAAACAAAAACATAGATATAGATTGGATCAGTTGGTTAAGACAATGTGTCTTAACTCAGAGCATCCAAGTTCAAATCGCCTTCCCATAAATTACAATAGTTTAGAACATTGTCGCCCAAAAATAAAAACATAAATAATATGTTTCCAGACCAGCACAGAATAAAAACAGCTTGTTAACATTGTTCACAACAAAAAAATAAAAAACTATATTACCATGTTTGGAATCTTATTCTCTGCAAATATATGTACAGTTCCAGGAGACTAAACAGACACCCAAGAAAAGGCTCTTGATGTCGAATGGTCAAATAATCCAAGGCTCCAACTTGGAACTTGTAAGAGTTGGTGTGAATTACATAGGGGATCATTAAGATTTTGATGACTAAAAGGAACCGAACAATGGTATACGATCTACAGAAACTGTGGTTACCAAACAAATCTCAGTGATGTTGTCTGCACGAACGAGTGACATGTCAGGAATCCAGAAGTTTGTTGTTTCAATGGCGGGGAGCGGACCGAGCACGCAATAGAGGTTGTAGAGCGTTGACAACAATGCTCATATTTGGCCGGAAATTAGCTTCATATTGGACGCACAAAGCGGCAACAGCAGCAAACTGTTTCAAGCACGTACAAATTGCGATCAGTGGATTTGGAGTAAACCAGCTACCTGCCTTTTCAATTAGTCTATAACTGGTCGAATGAAAAGTATGTCGTGTTCTTGTCCATCCAGTCAACAATTTAAACATAACATAATTGTATATGTGTGTACACCTATTAAGGAAAAATAGCTTTGGCAAGTATTTCTCAGAATCAAGAAACCGGTGGTGAATAATTACTCAAAAGTGTTCCCCATTACCTTTGCAACTGCCTTGGAAGGGTATTCTCCATTGAGTCTAGCATCAACACACTGCTTCACCTTATCCTCACTGAGTTTAGGTGTTGCCTAATAGAACCATATATTCGAGAAACAAACTCAGCGAAATGAAAAATGAAAACCAGTTAAAAGTAAAATTCTCAGCTTCCACCCCTCCAGAATGAAAAAAAAAAAGATGCAAGAACCAAGCATGAGTTACAAGTAGACAAGAACTAGGTTGAAATTAGTACCCATGTCACAAGGCTCTGCTGCCCACGCGGCAATGTGTGATCAACAGGTTTACGCCCAGTCAAGAGTTCAAGCAACACTACACCAAAGCTGTAAACATCACTTTTTGAACTCAGCTCTCCGGTCATTGCATATCTGCCATTCGGAATCACATATAAGAATTACAATGGGAACGATGTATATGCCAAGTCAAAATTTTGAGCGTACATCATAACGTGATTTATACAGTACATCAAGGAAGAACTTACTCTGGAGCATGATAACCAAAAGTCCCAAGAACACGAGTAGAATGAAGACGTGCTGCCATATCAGGTGCTTGATTTGACAGATCAAAATCAGCAATCTTTGCAACATCATCATCAAAAAGCAGTATATTGCAGGACTTAATATCACGATGGACTATATGAGGCCGAGCCTTTTCATGTAGATATTCAAGTCCTCTGGCTGCTCCTACAGCAATTTTAACCCTTTGTACCCATGACAAAACCGGTCCTGGCTGTGCTCCCTTAACACCTTTCCGTCCTATAGCCACATAAAGTGAAACAAAATTCTATTAGCATAGAGATGAAGGCGATCTTACTAATTATCAAAGAGATAAAGCTAAAAAATTTGCAGCCGAAGAGCTATTTTCTATTGTTTGGAGGCCAACCCGCTCGTTTAGCAGATTAGTAGAAATACTAGGCGTCATTAGACACAAACAACTATCATCAACTGACCTTCAACCTAATAGTTATTAAGCCTCCTTCTAAATTTTAAACAAAACAAAAAAAACAAAAAAAAACTGCATGCATAAAGCTTCACTCAAAAAACATCTATGTGGTCCTTGATTATTATAATTTTGGAGGCTGTAATAACACCAGACGATAGAAATTTGGAAATGTTACTTACCGTGGATAATATCATGAAGAGACCCATTAGGAGCATACTCATAGGCAAGGAGACGGAGAGGGCCATCAACACAATAACCAACAAGCTCCACAACATTTTCATGTTTTAGTCTTGAAACCATGGAGACCTGTAAAATTATGCTCCAAGAATTAAATAAATTTCAGCACCAAATCACATACAATGTTAAAGTACAAAACACAAAAAATTCCGTAGACCAAACCTGCGATAAGAATTCTCGCTCCAGTTGTTTACTGGAATCTAACTTCTTAATAGCTGCAGCAGGCCCACTTTTCAGAACACCATGATATACTCTTCCATATGAACCCTCACCGATTAAAGATTTTGTGCCAAAGTTATCTGTCAAATCTTTCAATTCATCCACTGGAATGGCAGCGACAGCAATGGGAAGGATATTTACAGTCTGTGTATCCACGGGTGCAGCTTCTTCGTGATAGTAACCTCCACTATTGCCTACATTTCAAATGTCGAGTTTTGCATCAATCCAACAAGACGCCATAAAACGATGGACATCCAAAACCAAATGGCATACAAGTTATTAGCTTCAATGCTCTTGATAAGAATACCATAAATATAAACACACACAGGGTACCTGCTGAGTGATTTGTTACATATGGTCCATTCTCAGAAGCTCTACGGGTGTCATCTTCTACACAACAACTGAAGCAGCTCATAATCGTTTTTCCTGAAGAAATAACATCTTAAGCAATCTTGCATAGACAAACCGTGCGCGATAACGTTCATCTAACAAAGATCAGTGCTTTCAGGATAATTATAGAGTGGGCTTAATTAAGTTGACTAAAACCTCAATGAACCAACATGCTTTGTTCCAATTCCCCAGTTTATTCTCTACATGTCAAACAAGAGAAATGAAGAAGAAGCACTTGGATATCACCCAAAAAATTAAAAAACACAAACAAAAATACGCATCAAATTCAAAGGTTAAATCCATCAATTTATTCAATTAACAAATAAACTAAATCAATTCAAAAACCTAAGATTGTCTCTTAAAATCCATCAACAAGGAGAGATTCATATTTACAACAGCAAATAAAATTCAAAGCCTTCAATTTCTACATGTTCCTCTTGAATCTTGTCTAAAAAAAACAAACAGATAAACTAAATCAAAAGAAAAAGAAGTTACAAAAAAATAAATGAAAATTTGAAAAGTAGCAAAATTTTGGGGGAAAGAAAGCTCACCTTTGGTACGTTTGAATGGTTCTTCTGGCAATTGGGTTTTCTCAGTTTTGAGTGAAGCGTTGGAATTGGAGTGATGAGTGTGATCAGGGCGGCTATGGAGGTCTGCAGGAGAGGGAGAAGGGAAGGCGGCGCACGTCAGCGGTTAGCAGAAGGCATGCAAATGGGGAGGGCTGGGATGTCTGTATGTCTCCCTGTTCTGGCTTTTGACTTATGGTAGAAGGATTAGGACTCTCACCTCTCTTCTTTCCATCTCCTTCTCTTACATTCTTTATTTTATTTTTTTTCTTTTATAAAAAATTAATATAAAATGTTAATATGGTTTAACCGTGATTGTTCAAATAGAAGAGAGAAAAGGGAAAGGAAAAAAAAGAGGGGAAAAAATCCTACTTTAATCATAAATATTTGAAGCTTCTATTTGAGTTTAAAGAAATTAACAAACATTATATTATAAGAAATATTAAAATTTCATCGTGACAATTACATAAATAAATAATTTTAAATTAAATTAAATTTTTACAAACATAATTTATGAGTCAAGACTTAAGAAATAAACCATACTTATTATCTTCCCTTAAAAGGGCGTATAAATATCTAGTTCTTTTACATTTGTGTCATTATACATTACTTTAGTCTAAAGAAAGGTTTGGAATTGGCACTGTAGAAATGACAAGTGTTTCAATCCGAATTTCAGATTAATTACAACCATGCCATTGCTCTGTGTTGGTTTTGGGTCAGTAGACCGGCCCTCAGCCAAGCCCAAATGAGTTTGTTTTAGCCGAGAAGCCCGGCCCTCAGTCAGGCCCAAATAATTTAATTACAGTTTTGCCCATCAAAGAGTACAATCCGATGGTGGGGATGGTGTATTAGGAAGGGTAATTTTGTCCTCTCGGTTTTGGGCGAGATGGGGGGTAACCGGGTAGGTGTCATTTGCTGTAGTTCAATTAGGGTTTCGGGATGGAAGGTCTGAGGGAGAGACAGACAGAGACAGAGACAGAGATATAGATGGCGATGGAAGGAGAGCGAGGGGGAGGGGTAGGGGTAGGTCTCGGTACTGTTGCTGCAGATGGCTTTCATAAGTGGGAGAGTCGGTATGGTCAGAGAATACCATATGGGTCGTCGGGATTTCAGGGACACGGGGTAAGGGTCATCAACAAACCCTACTGAGAGTGGGGTGTGCCGGTTCTTGCGCTGCATGCCTCAAATCCAAAGATAAGTTCGTTTTTTAAATTGGATTTTTTAATGGTAGGTTAGATTTTCGAATTGTTAAAGAGGGAGAGGGGGACAGCGCGAAAGAGAGAGAGGGAGAGGGAGGAGTAGGAGAGGGGGTACACTCAGAGAAAAGCATAGGGGTCGTCGGGATTTGAGGGAGAGATGTTTTGCGGTGAATTTCAACTTATTTACAAATTTGCCACAGGCTCTCTCTGCCGCTGATCGTGATGCACACGCGTTGATGATCGCGGGAAGGGAATAACAATGGTAAAGCAGGCCTTTTCCGTTCCTTCCCAAAGAGATGGAAAGGGAGATAAAGATAGAGAGAGAGGAGAAAGCATGGCTGTGTGTATTTTTTGGAGTTAATTAATGGGTTAGTGCACACTGCACAGGGTCAGTGAGGAGAGAATGACAGAGGGATGTATGGGAGGGTATGGGTTTTCAGTTTTTTACTCTGATTCAACAGGTTATGCACTGTTTGAAAATCATTGTTTATTGTTTTGTTTTCCATTTACTTTGTTAAAACCATATTTCGAATTTTTTGGTTTCACTGTGCTCATTTCTGTGCTTCTTGATAATTTCCTGGTGTTTGCTTCTCATCCCTCTGTTGGTAGATTTTTTCCTCATTTCTTGGTTCCTTATGTATTCCTTGGTACAAATCTGTCTAATTTTTGGCTGTGTGATGATCCTTGCAGGTGAGCTATATGAATGTTGTTTTGAAACACAGAGCTTCATCCACTTGAATCTGCAATTCATAGCAGCAGGTTCATCCTCACCCTTTCACTATTATCTTCTTAAAGCGAAACATTTTAATTATGGCTTTGGTTGCTTGACATTTTTAGGTATATAATTTGCTATACTTTTGTTTTGGTTTCTTCAGTTAGATGTAATGTACAAGTCAGATCTCTTATTTTCCTGCAAATGAATAGACTTAATGCAATCCTCGGTCAAATCATTTATCACATTCAGACAAGTCCCAATTATTTTTGCATATGAAGAAGACCATCTTCACCAACACCGGATTTATCTACAAAGTGAATTTTGATTACCCCAAACTTATTAATCAAGAAGCCACTGTTTTAATAAAATTTGGCATAATCTTTAACATGAATATTGAAGGAAAGAAGCAAAATAGGCCTCAAATGGATGTATATGTGTAGAAATTATGTTGGAAGGTTAGTTAAACTTAGGCTTATTCTCAAGTATAGTATAAATCCTTGGGTTATTTGGATTTCAGTATTTATCAAACTTTGCCTTGCTTATGTATTGATCTCATAACTGTCGCTTTTGTACAACAACCCAAATATGGAATCTGCCATCTAGATTCTATATGGAAGTTGTGAAGCTTTTTTCCCCCAAAATTTTGGTCTTTTTGTTTTTGTATGTTGGTTTAAAACAAATAAAAAGTTTTGGTATTGGTATTTTGCTTTTGTTCCTAAACAAGGGCAATTTTTTACTTTTGAAATGGTTGTCACCTTATTATTTGTTCATGTGCCAGTGCCAAGTTATGATGGTGCTCATTGCTCTAGGAAAATTGGGAGGGGAAATTTTCATATGCTTTGTGGAATCTTTGATGCAATTAACATTTTAAATTTGACTCCTCCCATTAGTATTTTTTCTTTGTGATAAATTCTGTTGTAATCTATGTGTGTTGCTGATGAAAGAAGATAAAGTTTTAGCCATGATCCTTAATGGTCCCTGAAACTCATGGGTACTTTCACTTGCTATGCATACGGTGATAAATGTGGTTGATGCTGTTATGATTCATAACTAGGCAGTTTCCTCTCATATTTCCTTTGGTTCTGTAATGATTTTCTTTTGCCATCTTATGTTCAGGCTTGGGTTACCCTTGGTAGAGCACAGTTAAATTTGGGGAGGCTGATAGTGCCATTCAAAGCTTCGACAGAGCATTAGCCATCAAGGTAGTGTTTCACCTTTCAAGAAATTATAATCTGTAGTTCTCAAAGCTTCTGACGCTATTTTCTAATGCGTCTTTGAGCCACTGACCTTAGGTGGAGTCTGATACTGCAATATTATGTGCTAATCTAATAAACCCTGCAACTTATTCGTCTTCGTCATGAGTAATTTTTTATTTTTTTCATTGAAATAAGGATTTAGTGGATGATTGTTTGTAACACATGTTAGTTAAAATGAGTTGAGTATTGGGTGCCAATCCCATGTCTGCAAATCACAGTACCCTAAGGAAGAAACACTGTCTGCACAATCTATAATACTTGTTCAAGCAAGAATCTTTTCCCAGACTAAAAAGCTTACATTTCAATTGATCTTTCCTTTTCTTCTCAGTGAAAACACATACTAAAGCAACAATGCTATGGTGGTTGGAATAAGCGTTCTCAGCTATGTATGGATGCTTGATATGAATTAGGTGACTGATGTTGAATCAGTCAATAAAAAACAAATAGGATCTAATATATTATACATTAATCCATACATAATGTTTTTGTTGTCCGCCCGGTATCAAAGGTGAGAAAGGCCTTCTTTATTTCGGCATCAATTATTAATTGAAAACTCATTCATATTTTTTCATAGAAATTCCGTCATTGTGCATTGCTATTTAATTGCTCCTTTTGGGTTTTTTAGCCGAAAAGTAGGTCAGTATATATTTAATTTAGCTCCCCTGATTTTCTTTTTTAATTTATCTTTTGTTTGTTTTGTTGGGAGATGTAGTTTGATCAAATCAGGTTGAATTGAATTATCCTTGAAATGACAAGAAGGAACGGACTAAGCAAGTAATAATTCTTAATTACTTAAATCTTTACATTTTAATTTTATGATTTGATTGGCCCTTATATAAATTTCGAGCTCCATAATTGTTGGACCATTGATGTGTTATGAGTGGTGACTAGTGAATGTGTGTAAATATTGTGTATGGGTGTTAAGTACTTCAGATTTTATCAAACTTCTCAGAAGGGAAGGGGTATCCCCTTCTTCTTCTTCTTTTTCTCTCGAATTGTCTCTTAAAAAACTAAACCGTGGCGGCCAGTTTTCTTATCCCCTAATCACTGATCTCCGCAGGTTTTGCCCAAGCCAGCGAAAGATTCAGGGGAACAGAGCTCACACTATTAGAGGTATATGTTCACATCCCTAAATTTTTTTTATTATAATAATTTCAGCTGGATCTGAGTAATTCTAAGTCATGGATCTATGAATAGTGTGTGTTTGAGTCTCTCAGCGTCTATTTTTTTTCATCGAATGGTCTCTGTTGTGTCTGTATTTGTGCATCCATGTATGAATATGCTCTCTAAAAGCTCATTATTGTCCTGGGAAGCCTCCTAAATTATTGATTCCTTGCTTTCTATGTACAATGTTATTAAATTCTATTTTCTAATTTACTAATTTTCTGATTTTTGGGATGGAGGGAGTGAAAATATAGTAATTTTCAGGGATTTTGGGTCTTTGCGGGATTTTTTGGGTAAATTTGTGATTTGCAGTTGATTTTAGGAATTGATTTATAGGTTTGGTTTGAATGCACTGACAGAAGTTATTGTTTCTGTTAATGCAGATAATGAAAGGTAAGTTTGAAAGTAAAAGGGATTGAAGTGGTGTCTGGTTAGAAGGAGAGAGATCCACGGCAGTGGGCACGACCATGGCCGCAGCCACGAAGAGGAGAGACTGTTGGCGACATCGAAGCTTCTCAAGGAATTGACCGAGGAAGATGACATGAAATTACAGATTTGGATTTCATCAGCACGGCCATGATCATGAGCATTTTGGTAGTTTGCATCTCTAAGTTCTTGGTATTTCTTCTTACATTTAATCTGGTTGAATTCTGTTCTTGGTATTTCTTCTTACATTTAATCTGGTTGAGTTCAGTTCTTGGTATTTCTTCTTAAATTTTATCTGGTTGAATTTTTTATTTTATGGGTTTGGAAATTCAAGTTTTTTCTTTTCTTTTTTTTTTTCTTTCTGCATTTTATATTTCCATTGAAGCTTTTGAACTGTTCTGTTTGGTCTTCAGTATGATTACTTATAAACTATTTTGCCATATGCATTTGCTACAAAATGTAAACTTATTTTAAATGAAAACATATTGAAGTCTCTTTGCATTTGCATAAGCTATTGTGTGTTGTTAAAAGAGAGAGGGCATCTACCATAAAACACACACGCCATGGGTGTAAAACTAAGTTTGTCATGGAAGGGTTTCTGGATTTCTTCGATACCCTCTCCTTCGGCCAAACCTCTGCATTTACATGAATTTTTAGATTGCAGGGTCTGACAGCATGAAGAATATAGACCATTAGCAGCTATAGATTTATTTTTCAAAGCATTTTGGATAGGACAATTAATGGATGGTAGAAGTAAAACTGAAAATCTTTTGCATAATCATTTATATGGTGCACTTATACATTAGCTCTCTTGCACAAAAAATCTCTAACAATATCAATGTATAAACCGCACTTCTACATGATATGTTGGCATCTTACAATTTAAGAGAGCTACCATTCACATTCACATACACCATATTAATCGTTTACATATCTGGCAATTTCATAGCATTTGACGTTTTATCCCATCTACAACATCTCAAGCCTCATTACTTTATGTAGAAAATTACTTTATACATATGCAATTTACATGTCTTGAAGTTAATGACATTAGCTGTGCACATGTCTGAATATTGGTGCTTAAGATGCATGAGTTAATGACATTAGCACAAAACTATAATTTCTCGACATGTCGTGAGCTGAAATGCTAGAAAGGAAAAAAAAATGTCCACTTCCTCTGGCCTCCTGAAGTGTTTCCATTCCAGTGTCACCATCTTTTGTTTCATTCATTTGTAGAATATCTTCTTCTTTTTTTCTATACCTTTATTACCTCCTTTTAACTACAATTATCTGTACTTGATTAGTATTATTAGATCCATTCTCAAAATTTTGCATCCCCTGCTTCTTTCTTATGGTCCTTATACTCAAACATGTGCAAGTTTGTATTTTTCTGATGGATTAGACTATTGGGAACTTAGTTACTTATGCTTTTTATATATTTTTGTTGGGTTTTTTGTTTTTTCGGAAAATGAGTATTTGATTAATCGCTTGACTTTCGCTTTCAAAAGGACTGTTAGAAGTTTTGTGTCAATTTGGTTGTGATGGTAAGATTAATTCATGTAACATTGGTATGTGGCATGTGAGTGTCGAATTTTTTTCTTAATTTAATTTCGGAAAGAAATGCGTTTAACTGTAGTCCTATATGATGAAGTTAGCATCCTTATAAGTTGGGAACCTAAAACAGGATTGGTGTACTCATAAATTCCTACTTTTCTCTGCCTCCTTCCCCTCTACTTTCACCAGTTGTGACTTATTTTCTTTTTTGGTTCTATCTCTCAGGAGTTTGTCAACGAGAGAAAGTTTGTGAACGAAAGAAATCTAATCGAGAGGTATTTTCTTTTTGGCAGATATCATGAATTATGTTTGGGTGTTTAAACAATATTTGCCTAAAAGTATACTCTGTTTTTTAGTGCTATTTCAAATAAGGTAACGTCCCCAAACACTGATATTTTGGTTTTCTATTGTTATGTGTGAAACCAGCTTGATTCGGGTTATTATAAGGTTGAGGGTTGCGGATGGTTAATCATGTTCAATAACCTTAGTTACAAGGACATTCACTTAAATTTTGGTTTCAAGTTGTAGAAAGACGGCTTTTCATTCTTTCTTAATATAAGCTTTCATTACAGCTTAGTTTCACATCATTCGTCATTGGATTTGCTATTTAAGTTTTTAGTGAGAAAATCTTATTGGTGAATTGTTAAAAGGTAGGAAGAGAGAAGGCAGCCTGCGAATTTATAAACTAAAGTTCAGATGCATTTTCTGTGGTATGGGGTGTCCGAGAGAAAGGGTTTCAGGGATTAGGTTGGGTGGGATTTCAAGGATTAGGTTTGGGGTTTTGTTTGTGCGATTTGTAGAGAGATGGGGGGTGTCCGAGATAGGATTTAGGAGATTTGTTTTAGGAATTGCAGAGAGAGATAGGGAGTGTTTGAGAGAAGTGTGGGAGGATTTAGATGTAATGGCTGCCTTTGTTACATTATGATTTATGTTTTTTGCTATAGAGTCGAAGATGTCCGGTCTCAGAAAATGTGAACAGCCACACGCTCTCTGTGATCGAATGCTGCACCATGCTGCATATTTTTTTGTTTGAACATCTGTGCTTGACGACTTACCTGCTCAAACACCGTTTTTTCTGTGTTTTGCTAACTGCTAAGTGAGATATGTAGGCTGCAGGGCATATATTTTACCGTCTTAACTGCAAGGGCAAAATATGTGTAAACTGCAGCTTGCTTTTGTTTCTTCAGTTTCGTATGGAAACATACCTTCTGCTTATTTTTGCCTTTGAACGGTTGTGGTTACAAAATTAGCTACTTGAACCTGTTGAAATGGTTGCCTACACTGTAGGACACATATTATATGTGTGAACTACATGTTTCTTCTGTTTCTTAAGGAAACAAAACTTTTTTGGAAACCATCTCTTTCTAATCAAAGACGTTCAGTTTTGTCCCATTCATTGTACAATGTGTTTACATACCAGCTCACTTGAATGTATATAAAAGCAAAATTGCTTAACTTATCAACCTCATTCACTCATGTATCCCTTTGTTTGTTCATAATTTTGTTGAATTTATTCAACTTAAATGTGTTTTATTCATCCGATTATGCCTGAAACAGATGGTTTCCGCAGTAACGCGCGGGCGTAATTTCTAGTGAATAATTAAATAAAGGCCCAAATCTAATCCGTCCATTGTACATGGAACAATTTTGACCCATGCTTCACCTTCGGGTCCAAAGCAAAGGTCCGACTGAATTCCGGGGTCAAGTTTTAGACTTGATGCTCAAATAGCAGTCCAACCCGTTTTAGATTCAAAGCCAAAAATTACACAACCGTAGTCTTGACTTGTCTTGTATACCCTTCTTTCTTATTTTTTGGCTTTTTAATTCTTCTTTGTTTTATTCGATGCAAAGGCTCGAAATAAGTAGGGGTCGTGTATGGGGAGAAAATTTTGTGGGGAAGTCATTTCGTTTCTTTTTTGGTCATGGAGATTAGATTTAAATTTAAAATCTCTTCTAACATTGAAAGGAGGTGTATCACTAAACTAACAACTAAATAACACCGAGCATGTCTTCAAAACTAAAAATTTCTTCACTACAAGAGGTCATTTCAATATGGTGACCGTCCAAACTCAGACTTGCAAAGAAGTTTGTCTCCCTTTTATGTTGCTAATAGTTCTAGTTTACAAATACAAAAATATCAATCCTCGGTTTCAGCCTCAATAAACCAAATACCTTGAATTACAAGAGTTATCTTTGTTGTGTATTTACCTTTCTCAGTACGTACCTTATCAGGTGACATGATGCGAGGCAATAAACACCTAAATTTCTTAGGTAGTTTAAGAAAGTGACGAAAAATAATGCTTAAAAACGAAAGGGATTGGTAAAAGGGAAGTCTCATCATCTCCGTCTATCACTCTCACACTAGCCGTGGCGACACCATCTCCTCCAGATATCAAGCATCCCAGCTAGGCAAATTAACCATTGACTTTTACATGTTTTCATCTTGTATTATTCCTTGTAAACATATAAATGAAAGCTATTCAACCCGACTCAAAACATTATATGGTATCAACGAGCCCTAAGCTTTAACGAGCAGTTTCTCAAATTTTTTCCATGTGCGCTCACAATGTCAGACGAGCAATCAACCAAGTCCGATTCCGTTGCCCACCCATCCAACTCTTTGCTTTCAGTTAACAACTTCAAATCATTGATTACGATCAACGCCGCTGCCCAACTGCCCGATAAACTCACGCCCATGAATTATCCTTCCTGACATGCTCAATTTATTGCCATCCTCATAGGGTATGATCTCCTGAGATATGTCGATGGAACGTATCCCTGCCCAGAAAAATCGAATACCTCGTCATACGGCGTATAATCTTTGGCTATGCTAAGATCAGCTGCTGCTCCATGCCATCCTCGCATCCGTTTCCGAACAAGTTGTCTCTCTTATTGCCTCTGCCACAACCTCCAAGGCTGCATGGGACAAACTCAAACAACTTTATGCCAATCGAGCTCGATCTCATGTCATGAGTCTCAAAGAATGCATTACTCTCATGCGTCGTGACTCCAACCCCGTTTCTGAATATCTCCAAGCTGTCAAAGCCATTGTCGATGGACTCACTCTTATTGATGCTCCCATCAGTGATGATGACCTCGTCATACACATCTTAAACGGTGTTGGACTTGAGTTCAAAGAACTTGCAGCTGCTGTTCGTGCCCGTGACAACCCTATTTCCTTTGAGTTCCACTTCTCGTCATACACATCGTAATAACTTTCGAGATATTTCTGGTTTTAGTTCCTCAAGTCGGGGTTCTTCCAACGGTTCCACTTCTCGTCGCCCCAATCCTCTTGGCACAGGGTACCGTGGAACTTGTCAGTGGTGTGCCCAACAAGGTCATAACGCCAAATTTTTCCCTCAATTGACTCCCTAGCACAAACCGGTTGCCAACTACACTCGTGCCCCTAATTGGATTCTTGACTCAGGGGTCTCGTATCATGTTACATCGGATATCAATAACCTGTCTTTTCCTTTACGCTACGAAGGACCTGATGAAATCATAATTGGTAATGGTACAGGTTTGCATAATACCCATCTTGGTTCTACCCCCCCCCTTCCATCCCACTCGCCCTCCAACTTTTCCTTATTTGATGTTTTATGCGTTCCTTCGATTCGGAAGGATTTAATTTCTATTTCCAAATTCAATAAACAAAACAAAACCTTTATTGAATGTTTTCCTGATTTTTTCCTTGTGAAAGATCTTAACACAGGGCCGAGCCTTCTTCGAGGCCCAAATAAGGATGATGAATATGTATGGCCACACTCATCATTCCATTCAACTGTTCAACCTCGTGATAAGGTGGGTGTGGTGGCCTCTCAACTATGGCACCGTCATCTCGGTCATCCCAATCATCGCACTCTTCAACACATCGTCAGCTCTAATTCCTTACATGTGTCCTCAAAGTCCCATGTCGAGTCCACATGTGTTTCTTGCCATTGTAATAAAAACCATAGGCTTCCCTTTGGTGTCTCTACTCTCACTAGTCAGGGTCATCTAGATCTCATTTATAGTGACGTTTGGGGTCTTGCTCCCTATTCTTCTATTGATGGGTTTCGTTATTATGTTGTTTTTGTTGATCATTATTCCAAATATATTTGGATTTATCAAATTAGACTTAAGTTTGATGTCTTTTTTGTTTTTACTAAATTCAAGGCCCTTGTTGAAAATTACTTCAAAACAAAAATTGTATCTTTATATTATGATGGGGGTGGTGAATTTGTTAAACTCAAAAACTTCCTTGCCACAAATGGTATTACTCATCTTACTACCCCATCTCATTCTCCGGAACATAATGGCATGGCTAAACGTCAGCATCGCCATGTTGTTGAAACTGGTCTCACACTCTTCCATCATGCCTCTATGCCTCTCTCCTATTGGTCATATGTCTTCCAAACCACTGTTTACCTTATCAATCGTATGCCTACACAAACACTCACCAACGTCTCTCCATACAGGCGTACACCATTCTCTTTGGACACAATCCACATTATCACAAACTTTGTGTATTTACATGCCAATGTTTTCCATGGTTAAGACCTTACAACTCTAATAAACTAGAACCCCGTTCACGCCTTGTCTCTTTCTCGGCTACTCTACCTCTCAAAGTGCCTATCGGTGCCTTGATTTGTCTACTAATCGTCTGTTTATATCCCGTCATGTCAAATTCGATGAGTTCACCTTTCCTTTTTCCTCCTATGATCCAAATTCTCCTCGTGTGTCGTCAAAGAGTCTTGCTACTTGGTATTCTCTTTTTTTCCCGGTCACCCTGGTTTTTTTCGTCCATGCCACAACGCCACCCCACCATGATGTCATCCCATCTCCTACTCATGCCATCTTATTCTACGTCGCCATCTCCTTCGAAGGAGTCTCGTCATCTGCATGCCCCATCCCCATTACCAAAGCCATATTCCCCAAATCCTCATTCTCCATCTCCTTTTCCACACCATGCCATGCCTCCCTTGCCCACTCCCTCACCAAATCGCCTACCTTTGCCTCCACCTAACCCTTATAATAATCACCCCATGACCACCCATTCCAAAAACCTCATTTTCAAACCCAAACACCTATATGCTGCCACCAAACACCCTATTTTCCCCTTATTGGAACTAACAGGTGTTTCTCAAGCTGTATGTGACTCTCATTGGCGTGCTGCCATGTCATATGACTTTAATGCATTGATCCGAAATGGCACTTGGGAACTTGTTCTTTCTCATCCTCGACAAAACCTTATTGGTTGTAAGTGGATATTTCGTATCAAACGTCATCCTGATGGAAGCATTGAAAGATATAAAGCTCGCTTGGTGGCCAAGGGCTTTCATCAATGTCCTGACATTGATTTTTCGAACACCTTTAGCCTAGTTGTGAAACCTACCACTATCAGGGTGGTCTTGCATCTTGCTTTGTCACATGGCTGGCCTATTCGTCAACTTGATATTAATAATGCTTTTCTCCATGGCTCCCTTTCTGAAGATGTGTACATGTCTCAGCCCCCCAGCTTCGTCGACTCTAATTTTCCCTCTCATGTTTGTACACTTTGTAAAGCCCTTTACGGTCTCAAGCAAGCTCCCTGTGCGTGGTAC